CTAGGCTTATACTTGAATATATACAATATACATAGCCATATATAAACTGAGAAATTTTAGACAAGCAATGGACCCCGCAAAAAAACCTGAGCCAATTTATCCACAGGACAATGCAAGTCCTGTACTTAAACTCTTATTGAAAAAGGAAAAGGAATCCTGTTATCTGATTAACAGGGTTGCATAAGCAAATCAAGACATCAAATGTGGCATTGAATAGGCAAAAGGGAGAGCTTAGTTTGCTCAGGGAAAATTCAAAAGAAGCACCAACCCCTTTTGTTCTTTCAACTGCAGTGTCACTTTTGGCCTTTTCTTCGTGCCTTAATGGTGGCAGCCAGGGTTAACTTATCGAAAAGCCTTATCAAAATCCATAATTTGGGACCCAAAATCCGTCCTTGACTTATACTTGTGGTTGACTTATATACGAATGTACACAGTAATTCAAGAACTTTGAAATCTTAAAGTAGATTTAATTCAAGGTTTGAGTTTCATAGTAAAATAGTTTAATATGCCATTAAAAACAAACACGGAGACCCATGCTGTCTTTTCCGTGACTACTGTCAGCATTTGTCAACACCTTTCGAGAGATGCTATTTATCTCACAAGTCCCAAAATATTTATTTATTTATTTATTTGGTTTACTTTTACCCCGCCCTTCTCACCCCGAAGGGGACTCAGGGTGGCTTACACATCCAAGGCACAATTCGATGCCCGTAACATACAACAGCAATAAAACAGAATAGCACAAATTAGCAATCGACAACAATACATTACATCTATACCCGCTAAAACCAATAATTTTTTTTCCATACAAACCGATACAAACTAATTACTCCTTATTGCCGGTCACTGTTCGCTATCTCATAGTTCAGAGTTTCCTTCCCACATTTATCAGTCCTGCCGGTCCTATTTGTCTGGTTGTCCTTACCTAGTTAGCAGATTGCCCGAAGGCCTGGTCCCACAACCACGTCTTTACCTTCCTCCTGAAGGACAGGAGTGACGTCGATGCCCTGATATCAACTGGGAGTGAGTTCCACAGGTGAGAGGCCACCACTGAGAAGGCCCTGCTCCTCGTCCCCACCAGCCTCGCTTGGGAAAGCGGTGCCTGAGTAGTGGGCATACACTTGTTTACTGGGAATGTCAGCCATTCATCATTAAGATGCATAGCCCCTGGTGACGCAGTGGGTTAAACCCCTGTGCCGGCAGGACTGAAGACCGACAGGTTGCAGGTTTGAATCCAGGGAGAGCGCAGATGAGGTCCCGCTATCAGCTCCAACTCCCCAAGCGTGGACATAAGAGAAGCTTCCCACAAGGATGATAAAACATAAAAAACATCTGGGCATCCCCTGGGCAATGTCCTTGCAGACAGCCAATTCTCTCACACCAGAAGCGACTTGCAGTTTCTCAAGTCACTCCTGATACGACAAAAAAACTTCCAAAAAACCCATCAGACTGAGCTTGTGCAAAGCATTGTTCTTGTTAAGTGTATCAGATGGATTTTGACCTATGGCAACAACATGAAGCATGAAGAAGGAGAGACCTCCAAGACCCCCTGTCATCAATAACCCTGTTCTGGTCTTGCAGACTCAGTTCTAACTTCCTTAATTTTCTCATGTCGGTCCTGACACGACAAAAAAATAATAATTAGGATGCATTTTGAGTTTCCCGAAAAGTGTTTACACGGATAACAGGTTCTAACTCTTGTTTCACACTTGACATTTTAACAGTCCTGTTTCCTCAAAAGACTTGTGTGCATCTTTGTGCAAGTTTGATAGGTTATGAGTTGGATTAGAATTTGTAATTATGATCAGTGTGATTATTCGTTCCCGTTGTCACTTTGGGAACCAGATAACGCCTGGTTTTTATCTACTGTAATTCTTAAAATGCCAGATAATAGCCTGGCTTTTATCTAATTTTAAAAATTGTCTTCTGTTTAAGACACAAATGATACCGTAACCTTGATAGGCATCTGAATGTTTGAAAGAATCAACTTCTTTGTCTATATTTCTTAATTAAGAACATAAAGTAATCAGGGTAGTTAATTGCTCCAGACTTCCTTTATTCTTCGGATATAATACATCAACAGATACTGTGATGATTTTAATGTGCTGTGAGTGTCATTGCTTAACAAATTGTCTTTCCTTTATCTTGTATATATGATGGGATCCTCGCTAGACAGAGGTAACAGATAGGGGACAGTTGTATAACTGGACCCTGGTGTGCTGTTGGTGGTGTCCTTTGTTCCCTCAACTGCTCCTATACGTCAGCTTGTGATTTTTGTGCTTCTCTGCCTGCATGTTTTCAAACACATTAACCACAACTCCACTTTAATATTTCTCTTTCCCTCCTCTGTGTGTCTGGTTTGTGTGTGTGTGTGATATGTCTTCTAATTCTACTGAAATAGTTTGCTATTTTGAAAGCTTAGAACCCAACCTCTAACCCATTTAGTCCATCCTTTCTGGCCTTTAAAACTTCAGAAGACATTTTTAATGATTTTCAGATGAGCAATGAAATTTAGGAAAACCATGTGCTCCTCATAAGGATTATGTCAGAATTACAGTTGCCATCATCCCTTTGCTTACTTTACCATAGTTTGGAGTGGATGGTACACTACTAATCTCTTAACCATGGTCTTGACATTGACATTGAGAGTAGGCCATAGGGATGTGTTTTTATCACATTCTTTATTTCTGTTGGAGTAAATGTCTTTTCTCCATTTTTTTCCCTTTCTGATGTTGACAAAAACTTTGTTTTACATGTGTTAAACCAGGGGTCCTCAAACAAAGGCTCGGGGGCCGCATACGGCCCTCCAAGGTCATTTACTCGGCCCTCGCTCAAGGTCAACCTAAGTCTGAAACGACTTGAAAGCACACGACAATAACAACAACAATCCTATCTCATCAGCCAAAAGCAGGCCCATACTTCCAATTGAAATATTAATAAGTTTATATTTGTTAAAAGTGTTCTTCATTTTAATTATTGTATTGTTTTTAAGTGTTTTTTGCACTGCAAATAAGATATGTGCAGTGTGCATAGAAATACATTCATGTTTTTTTCCAGTTATAATCCGGCCCTCCAACAGTTTAAGGGACTGTGACCTGGCCCTCTGTTTAAAAAGTTTGTGGACCCCTATGTTAAACATTGCCCCTGGTTGCGCAATGGGTTAAACCCTTGTGCCGGCAGGACTGCTGACCGACAGGTTGGTGGGTCAAATCTTGGGAGCAGGGTAAGCTCCGGTTTCAGCTATAGCATCTCATAAGAAAAGCCTCCCACAGGATGGTAAGACATCAAACATCTGGGCAGTGACATTGCCAGAAAAAAAAAATTGGGGGGGGGGGTTGAAAAAGAAAAAGCGAATCATGAAGAGTAGTTCCATAACACAAAATAATTTAAATAGTAAGGTTCATTCTATATTTTAATTAAATCAATTTAATGTTGGCTTCTCATAAACTTATCATGGGAATTTGGTTAACCCAGGGGTCCTCAAACTAAGGCTCTGGGGTCGGATATTGCCCTCCAAGGTCATTTACCCAGCCCTTGCTCAGGGCCAACCTAAGTCTGAAAGCACACAACAACAACAACAATCCTATCTTATCAGCCAAAAGCAGGCCCACACTTCTCATTGAAATACTAATAAGTTTAGATTTCTTTGAATTGTTCTTCATTTTAATTTTTGTATTGTTTTTAAGTATTTTTGCACTACAAATAAGGTATGTGCAGTGTGCATAGGAATTCATCCATGTTTTTTTTTTCAAATTATAATCTGGCCCTCCAACAGTTTGAGGGACTGTGACCTGGCCCTCTGTTCAAAAAGTTTGTGGTCCCCTGGGTTAACCAGTTAAAATTCATGGGTAAACCAGGTTTTTTTTAACCTGAAAATTTGGGGGGGGGGAATTGAACCCCTAACCCCTCCCCCCCCCAGCTAAAGCCTTACATCTGGGGATCGCCTGGTCAACATCCTTGCAGATAGCCATTCTCTCACACCAGAAGAAACTTGCAGTTTCTCAAGTCGCTCCTGACACACACACACACAAAAACCGTGAATAAGAGCAACCATTAAAAACATTATGTGTGAACCTTTTTCCAATCTTTCTGTAACATATAACATGAAATCATAGTTCAGGTAGGGAGCTGCGGTTGCGCAATGAGTTAAACCCTTGTGCTGGCTAAACTGTTGACCTGAAGGTCGATGGTTCAAATCCGTGAGACAGGGTGAGCTCCCATCTATCAGCTCTAGGTTCCCATGTTGGGACATAAGAGAAGCCTCCCACAGGATGGTAACATGTCCCTGGCAACATCCTTGCAGACAGTCAATTCTCTCACACCGGAAGCAACTTGCGGTTTCTCGAGTTGCTTCTGACACGAAAAAAAATATTTCCGGTCCTTGACCTACTTTAAGTACTTTTAAGTAGATTTAAGAACCAAGCACCATTTATTCTGTACCTGGCCATCATTTTTCAGTGAACAGTGGGGAAGTGGTTGCTATTTAGCTTATTTTGGACAGAGGTACTAATACATTGTTTTAAAAGAAATAAAGATTCCCAAAACTGTCAGTGAAATGCCTTCTTGACAGTGTGTTAAAATGGCAACAGAGATCCTTTGGAATGCATTGTCATTCAAACTATTAAATTGACAAGCAACAGCGAACCCTATCTTGCCTTGGCACTTTTGCCTTAAAAGTAGTATTAACAACACAGTTCTATGCATATTTACTCAGTAGTAAGTCCTACTGAGCTTAATGGAGTTTTCTCCCTGGTTTGTATGCACAGGATAGCATTGTGTTGCACATTATACAATAAATTTTGATTCTTAGCTTTTAATCTTCGAGAAACATCTGACAGATTTAAAGGCTAAAAAGGATTTTGGAATGATAACAAGAAGGGCGTATCTGGGAAAATGGATGGGTAGAGGCCGTGTTTAAAGTGTAAACGACGTGATACTATATTTACTGACTGTATTTTTTCTTTTCTTGGGATTGTGGCACTGTTGATTTCTTAAAATAGAGAATCTCCCAGGAACGTGAAAAGTTTGCAGATGAAGACAGCATCTTTTATGCACTTGGAGAATGTGGCCTGATCTCCTTTTCTGACTACATCTTCCTCACAACCGTTCTCTCTAGTAAGTGCATGTTTTTGTTCCATACTATTTCTATAATACATGTGAGTTCTTATGTTTTTATTCCTTAAATTTACATTTAGCCTGGCATTTTAGTGGGGCGTTGGTTTATGTAACTCAATTGCAGTTCTTCCTCATAGTCTCTTTGACTTTCATTGGACATTCTGTACCTGTGCAGCCTCATCCTCAGAAACATCTAAAACAGTGGTTCTCATCCTGGAGTCCCCAGATGTTTTTGGCCTACAACTCCCAGAAATCCTAGCCAGTTTACCAGCTGTTAGGATTTCTGGGAGTTGAAGGCCAAAAACATCTGGGGACCCCAGGTTGAGAACCACTGATCTAAAGCTAAGAGGCCTGTGTTGCTGCTAGGTCTTGAGCTTGCGCTGAAGTTCCCTGGTCAGTTATCTCCAGGTGGAGATTTTAATAAAAGGAGTAGCAGTGAAGCCTTCAACAGAATAAGTGTTTTTAGCCAGCAAAGACAAACAGGTCAGCAATTACGGTGCTCAGCCAGATTACAGCAGAAGTTAGAAGTGAAACCAAAATACAGGAAAAATCCTTTCCTAGCTGTTTGGGAAATAGGGCAGGGATATAAGTGCCAAGTACGGAATCTAGCTTCCGACCGAAGCAACATTGGATCCACGGTAAGTTCTTCATGCCAAGTTCTTAGACTCTTGTCTTTGTTCGATTCATGGATTAAGTGGCTTTGCTGTTATTTACCTTTGAAATCAAGTATTTCGTTTCATGGACTTTTTTGGACTATTTCTTCCTATTTCTTCCTAATCTATTGGATTACCTTTTACTGTGGATTGCTTTTTATTGCTTTGGTTTATGTTACCCTCAATAAACTGCTTGCTATTTTTTTTTTAAAAAGCGAAGCTGCCTTTGTGGTTGGACAGTATATGTTGCACAATCACTACTGTAGAGTTTAACCTAATATGTGGGGGGGGGGGGGGGGGGACCCTTTCGTTTGGTCCTTGGGTCTTTTTTCTTTCTTTTTTCTTTTCTTTTCCTTCCGTCAGTCCTTCCTTGTTTGTTTGTTTGTTTGTTTTTTCAGTCCAGTGCGCAGAGGGCATGTTTGGAAGCAGAAAACTATAAATCACACATCTATCCTGCTTCGACACATCATATTTCAGAAACTACTCAGAGGCACACAACAACATTAAACCATAGTTATGGCCTGTAATTGAATTAGTCATTCCTTGTAATGAAATTAACCATTAAGAACAAAGCCCAATGAATATTAATACATGATTAAGTAATAGAATGCTAACGAGCTACTTACGTGTGGTAATAATTTCACATTCATTAGTTTTAATTATTTTATATCCTTTAAAGAGAACAGTTTTACTTCAAAACAAATATTATTGGGGCTACGAAAGTTATTTACATATTTACCTGTTGACTTTATTGAACTTGGTTTTGATTAGACATATAAGGAACGGGTCTGTTAAACACTTATTTTAACTAATTGAATTGAGCATGGAATATATGTAATCAAAAGGAGTGGAGGGAGGAAGCAACATGAAATGCTTCTATAAAAAGCGTGGAAAATTGGGTTTGTCGTGGCTATATTTAAATTCAGATTTAATCTGTTAAGTTGTGCTGATTTTGGGCCCCACTCGGCACCACTGTGTGAGTCTTTGAAAGCTAATTACAAGCGAGGGAAATTGAGTGCCAAAATTAAGATATTGGTTGCTATCTAAAGTCTTTGGCCTGCCAAGTTCCTTCCCCTCTGTTAAAGAAAATTAGCCTGACTCCTTTCGTTGTTGCCCCTTTGCAATGATTTTTTCTAAAAATTATATAGATCTGTTCTAAGTGGGCATTTTATGTAATCCCGGAGGTAGGATTATGAGGCATTAGTTCAATAAGGCAAAGAAAATGGGCGGAAGCGATTCTTTTTGTTATTACCGCAGTGCTCATCAGCTGGACAGGGCTTAAATAAAACTCATTTGCATTTTACAAGCAGGGAGCTGTTTCCATACTGCATAGTAAATGAAGTCTGTCACCATATTTTATTTATAAGTAATTTACTGTTCTCCTGCAGTCTGCTTTCCTAGTCTGCCCAGAGTTTCTACGATTCCCTTTCCCCCTGGAAGAGATAATAAAATAACATTTAAAAATGTGTCAATACTTCGAGCCTCCTGTTAAAGGATGCTGAAGCAAAAAAGCTTGGAGGACACTGCACCAGTTTCGTGGCATCAGCTGCTCCTCAATTCGAATTTTTATCAGTGCAGTTTGAATTTCCTTCGCAATGAGGTACAAGGTTAAATGAAATGAGATGAGATTTCCTTTTTACCTTCTCTGAAATGAGTTAGGAGAAATTGCCTCTTGCTTGGTGTTGGGTTTAGTTATTGGAAGAAGAGTTGTAGGAAAATGATACTGGGAACAGGACCCTGACAAAATCAACAGGAGTAAAAATATTTCGTTTATTGCTTTTGCATCCCAGACCAAACCATATTTCTTTAGAAGTAAGTCCTACTGATCTCAGTCAAGGTCAATTCTGGTTAAGAATGTTTAGGCTTCCAAACCTACAACTGTCATTCATCTCATCCTGTAAGGCTAAAATAGTATGCCAACAACAGAGCTATCACCCAATCTACCCAAATTGACAGAAGAAAAAACAGAGTCTTACAGACCATGATTCATCTTGAGTCAAAAAGGAATAATTGCTTAAAACAAGTTTGTTGGAGAACATTAGTACTTTTTGATGCAAATAGACGATTTCTGGGGTTCTGTGTATGAAAAGATGTATTTGAATCGTAGTAGTTCATGTGGACTTTATAATCTGATAAGGCTGTTTTCTTTCTGTCATATCAGGTCCTGGAATGATACATTCCCTTCCTGTTCCTCTTTATGTTTTCACTAGCCGTCCCCTGCCATGCCTTGTATATATCTGTGTATATATCTTATGTGTGTATATATGTGTGTATATATTTGTGTATATAAGTGGTTTTGTGCATGCATTGTAATGTAATTTTTATTTTTTGGCTTTTTAAGTGTCTTCTATTGTGTTTTTCAGTGTTTTTGTGAGTGATGGTCATTTGTTGGCCTAATAGATGTATTGTGTCCAACTTTGGTGTCAAATCGTCTAGTGGTTTTTGACATATGTTAATTCCACAAACGAACATTACATTTTTATTTATATAGATGGGTGCCTTTTCATGGCTATTATGAGGAGGTAATTTGGAGAAGAAATGTGAAATGCAGCAGCATATTTGCTTGGTACATTACTTTGACTGATAGCATGGCTAAGGCCCCTTCTACACTACCACATAAAATCCAGATTATCTGCTTTGAACTGGATTACTTGGCAGTGTAGACTCCTACACTGAATTATATGGCAGTGCAGACTCCTATAATCCAGTTCAAAGCAGATAATATGGATTATCTTCTTTGATAATCTGGATTATATGGCAGTGTGGAAGGAAAATTAGTAATTTGAGCATTGGACTAGAACACAGAGACATTTATGCAGCGACTTGAAAGTTACTTTTTAAAATAACTAGTTTCAAAATTTGCCTGTAAAAAGTAGTTAGCTTTCTGAAATTAATTTTACTTACTTGTTGTTTAGAACTCACTAAGGCCCCTTCTACACTGCCATATATAATCCAGATGATCTGCTTTGAACTTTTTTATATGGCAGTGTAGACTCATATAATCCAGTTCAAAGCAGATAATCTGGATTGTCTGCTTTAATAATATGGAAGTGTAGAAGGGAACCTCAAACAGTCACACTAAGGCTGAATAAAATTCCACATTTTCTGCTTTAAACTGGAATATATGCTAGTGTGGACTCAGACAATCCAGTTCAAAGCAGATATTGTGGGATTTTCTGCCTTCTGGTATATATGACTGTGTGGAAGGGCCCCTAAATTACTTTAGAGAAATATAGCACAATGTCACAGGCTGCTGACCTGTGGTACAAAACATATACATAGCAAAGCTACAAACGTCCCATAACTATAAAAGTAACAATAACAGTCATAATGTAACTTAGGTATGAGGGAAAAAAAGAATTAATTTAATTGTGTTATTGAAAACAATCTGCTTCCAAGTTTTGATTAGGGCTAATAGCAGCTTGGAAGCAGATCAATATGGTGAAAACGATGCAACGGGAAACCATCACTACCCCAATGTCATATCCATGCTGTTAATGATTGAAAAAATGTGGGAGATCCAAATCATATCTACCTTTAATTGAAAATAAATAAATACAGATACCCTGATCAGATGGCCACACCTGTACTCAATGTTGCATATAAACCAGTCACCAGAAAATTGTCAGAAAAGTCCTTAAATGGGAACAGTAACTACAGTACTGAATTTGATAGCCAGTTTCGCTTACCAATTCTCCGAAAACTATTCCCCACAAAGTGTCTATGGGTCTCTCTAGGTCAGTGGTTCTCAACCTTCCTAATGCCGCGACCCCTAGATACAGTTCCTCATGTTGTGGTGACCCGCAACCATAAAATTATTTTCATTGTTACTTCATAAATGTAATTTTGCTACTGTTATGAATCGTAATGTAAATATCTGATATGCAGGATGTATTTTCAGTCACTGGACTAAATTTGGCACAAATACCCAATATGTCCAAATTTGAATACTAATGGGGTTGGGGGGAGGGACTGGTTTTATCATTTGAGAGATGTACTCACTGGGATTTATAGTTCATCTACAATCAAAGAACATTCTGATCTCCACCAATGATGGAACTCAACCAATCTTGACACACAGGACTCCCATGACCATCAGAAAACACTAGCAGGGTTTGGTGGGCATGGATCTTGAGTTTGGGAGTGGTAGTTAATCTACATCTCTGGACTCTAACAAGGATCAGGACCAAATTTGGCACAAATACTCAATATGCCCAAATGTGAACACTAGTGGAGTTTGGGGGAAATAGACCTTGGCATTTGGGAGTTGTAGTTGCTGGGATTTATAGTTCACCTAAAATCAAAGAGCATTCTGAACCCCACCAACAATAGAATTGGACCTAACTT